CTGGATATGTGGGAATAATCTTACATTCTTAATATAGCACTAATTTTTCCCAGTCTTTTTATTTCATCTGGTTTCTTAACTAATCCTTTACATTTTATTTATGCAGTTAAATATTATGCATATATTTATTGTTAAACTTGTGAATTGAGAAGTCCATTAAGTCAGTGCAGCTCACTGTGTGCTTTAAGCAGCATTTTTTTATCTTAGGATGTAGTACCTTGTGTGTTTCTCATTTGATTCAGGAATTCAGTAAAAATGTGTACTGTGACCAATCTTGAAAAATATAAAAACATTAGATTATCTACACACTCAAGTCTGCACAGAGATGTGCATCAATGAATTATTTATAAGTAAGAATTTCCTAGGTCTCTGTTCACTAATCTACTGTTTCACTCCGTTGCAAATTTTGGAAAATTTGATACAGCCCTTCCTCAGCCCTAATGGATAGGAAAAGTAAACAAAGCAAAGCTAAAAAGAATTACTGGTTCTTTTTCCTTCTCACTGAATGTAAAGAAATTTTTGATGGCTCTGTGGGTCTCAGGTTTATTTATTTTTTTATTTTAAAGATTAGAATGATGGATCATTTCTCTTTGGRAAAGTCTTTCTAATATTCATAAAAATAGGATTTTATTTTTAATGGTTATTTTCATGCCATTAGTTTAACATCAGCCCTTTTAGGTTTCTCTCCGGCTTTTCTCCATTCAGTATTATTTATGAATTTAACCAACACACAGTATTTAATCACCATTAAATCTTTTTAAAGATAATTAACATGTACAGTAAAGGTGATGTAGCACTAGTTATTGTAACACATGCTTCATTTTCTTTTACAGCCCGGCACATCTCTGCTTGTCACTACTTCATGCTTATTTTCATCTTAGTCATTTTTAGATGTGTTCAATTCACTGCTACTAAAATATKTTTTCAAGTAAAACTTCAAGAGGCAAACTGGATTTTGAAAAAGTTACATTTATTGTTTCAGTGAACAGGTCACGTGCTCCCTGGTAGCCCAAAGCTCTTTTTCAAGTATTTTGTTTTTGGTATTACTTTGTTTTACACACTGTGACTGATAATTTTAGGGCAGCCTTTCATAAGCACCTTTGTATATGAGAATGTCACCAGTGAGAGAAAGAATTTCACATAGCCTGGAAGATTTTACTTAATATTTTTGTCATGTAGAGAGAATGTGACTTCATGAAAATGTCAATGGATGTCTTGTCTCCAGATTTGTAATATACCTTAGAGAAACAAAATGGTCGTTTTTTTCTCCAAAGTGTTTTTCCGGTGTCACTTTGTTTCTAATATACTTGTAAACTATATTGTAAATTCTGCGTTGTAGTGACATGCCTTCTACAATGTGATTTGTGGAAAATATTTTTTTTTTTTTGCAATCATCATTCATTTTAAATTAAAGACCATTGGCTAAACCCAATGTTTCAGTGTTTCATCACAGACATGAAAGCATTGCCATGATGGCAGCAGCAGGTGTCCAGGTTATAGGTTTAGTGTGCAGAATTTTCTAGAGAAAATTCTCTGATTGTCCTAAATTCTGTGCTTGTTTCARCTCAAAGAGGGTTTGGTATCGATCACATAATGCTCCTTCTCTCATTTGCTTATGTGGACAGCCTTGATTGTTTTTCGGGACGCTGCAAACAGGATGTAATTGCTTTGTGCTCTTAAACAATACAATTTATTGGCTAGCACACATGAGGTAGCTGGGGATATTGCAGTATTCATCACCGCTGTGGACTGAGCAATGGGTTTTTGTTGACCTGGCAGTCAACAGTCCCGTGGGAAAGGTTCAGCCTCCACTGCTCCCTGGCAGGGAGTTGTCTTCTGTGCTGACAAGTTGCAATCTTCCATTTACCCAGTTTTCTTCCATGAGGTTTTATATCTTTTCATATCACTGCTTTTCCTTTTTAAGCCTTGAGCTGTTAACTAGACCTGTTTCAAGAATTTTATCTGTCTCTAGACTTTAGTCTTTCTTTTTTTGCATGAATACTGGTCTATGTATTTTGTTGTAAATTTTGTTACAGTCGAGCAGCCTTCTCAGAAGRCTTAGACAATGTTGCACAATTGTGCTGTTGTGTGCAGTGGATGACAGACAGATGAACATCCAGATGAATGGTAGTACCTACCTACCTGCATGCAAAACTTCAYCATGCACTCTTCCAGGATCTCAGCTTTCACACAAACATTTTCTGGTTCAATATGCTTTGTTTTCTTGCCTTACATATTTCTGGTTTCACCTCTTATAGAAATTCTTTCAAAATTCATTTCTCACATTCCCACATCTCTTTCTTTACTGTGCTTTTTGCTGTATTGCTGTTTCCAAGTGATCTTCCCAAAAGCAACAGCTGCTTTGACCACCCAGCAGAGCCAACAACACAAGGGCTCAGGAAAGCCTGGCTGCCCACATGTGGCATCCTCATCACATCTGTGGCACACAGATCAGCTGACTGTACTTGTTGAAACATAAACAAACACATCTGCTTTGCTGCAGGGAGTCAGAGAATGAATCCTACTGCGACCCCCACACAGACAGAGCAATATCCAAGGATTAGTGTTTAGGGTTGTCCTCCTGAAGAAAGCTGAGGACCCACTCTCCCTGTGTTACACCTTGTTTGGTTGCTGCTGGGGTTCTACATTGATTCCAGTTTCAGGGACCATTGCACATGTAAGCAAGGTCTGCCTTTGCATATAGGGGCCTTTTGCAGCTGTTACTGGCAGCAGGAGTGCCTAAGTGTGGCACTGGTGTGCTCTAGGGTAGGCTGCTTAGGGGCCCACAAAACAGAAAGTTTTCTGTACTAATTTTCCTGGAAGACCAGTCTGATTTCATTTAAAAACCCTGAAATTTACAGTATGGGTGTAAGGAGCGTCAGCATCAACTGCTTTGATTCATGATCTCTTTCTGTTCTGCATCATCATCACACATGTCTGTTGTGTCCTGGTTTCAGCAGGGATAGAATTAATTTTCTTCTTAGTAGCTGGTGCAGTGTTGTTTTGGATTGAGTATGGAAATGATGTTGATAACACACTGATATTTTAGTTGTAGATAAATAGTGATTTCCCTAAATCAAAGACTTTTCGCGGTCTCATGCACTGCCAGGTGCACAAGAAGCTGGGAGCAGCAGGTGCTGCAGGTGCAGGTGCTGCAGGTTTGGGCAGCAGGTGCTGCCCAAACTGGCCAAAAAAATATTCTATGGCTAAGAAATATTCCATACCATGAACGTCATGCTTGGATTATAAACTCTGGGGAAAAGGCTGGGAGATGTCAATTGCTGCCCAAGAATAGGCTGGGCATCAGTCAGCAGGGGTTGAGGAATTGTATTGTGCATCACTTTTTTCTCTTGGTTTTCATCATACAGTCTCCTTTCCATTAGTGTTATTATATTATACTTACTGTTCTTATCTCCAGCCATTAGTTTTACTTTTTTTTTTCAAGTCTCCTCCCCATCTTGAGGGGCTGGCATTGGGGGGAAGAATGATGCTGGGAAGGAAGGTTGAGCAAATGGCTGCATGGTAAATAGTGGCCAGCTGAGGCAATGGCAACTTGCTAATACAAACATGCTCAAAATTTCTTCACTTGCTTCGGAGTCAATCAGACACAGTGGACAAGACATGCAACCTTTGAATTTATCGTTTTCTGCTTTTCTGCATCTAGAATTTCAAAACCACCCTCTTCCTTTTATCTCCAATTCAAGTGTGCTTCCACTTTTCTAAAACAGCCCAATGGCCCTAACACAAGCATTGAATTGAAAATTGTTAACATGTTTTTCACTGTTGGTGCATGTATTACTAACATCTCAAATAGTTTAGTACTGAGATGCCCAAGCTAATGTTCAGCATCTCTAGCCATGTAGGTGCCCATTATAGGCTGCTTCGGATTGCTTTGTGATGGTTTTGAACTGCTTTAATTCAGTTAAATTTCTCTACATAGACGCCTCTTTTCTATACCAGCTGTTACAAATTGCATGCATATTTTTAAATAGAAAATAGGATGAGAAGTGGAGAAAAGCTTTCAATGCAACTTGTAGCATGATTTTAAAAATGAGGAGTGAAATATTTCCTAAGTATTGACTGATGAACTGTTATCTTTTATATGTCCAAGGAGTGATGAAGAGTTTATTTTTGAAAAAAATATTTGTAGCAAAGGTACATTTGCTATAGCAACAGCTATATTGCAGAAATCAAGAGTACAGTATGCAGGTTTTTCCTTCTTTTTTACCTCTATTTCCACTTCTCATAATACTATCTTCATTAACATTGGTTGCATTCTTCTAAGCCTCAAGCTGTGACCTTAAAGATCATATATAAGACTAATAGGCCTTGTTTAATACTATCAGTCTTTGCAGGATCAGAGCCTTACCTTCATTTGTCATACAAAAAAAGTAAAAAAAAAAAGTAAAAGTTAGAGAATAGACCTCAAAAATGTCATTGTTTGTATCTATGCAGAATTGCATGAAGTTTCATGACATTATTCCTATTAGCTCTAAAAGGCAGGAAGCATGCAAATTGCAGATTGGAATAATGTTATTCCTGGGGACAAAGCTAACTCAGACTTGATGTTAAAGAATTGTGTTAAATTCTAGGCACAACCTCTTTAATTACAGCAGTCCCTGTAAATTTGTTCAGGGGGAAAGGAATTGCAAAGTAGTTTCAGAAACTCCTATTTCCCTTTTGTGGAAGAATAATGAAAAGCGTGAATCACATTTTCCACATCATTTGATGAAATCCTTCATTAGTGAGAATTGACATTTGTATTCCATACTAAACAAGTTCTCTATGCATGGAAAGTAGTTCTCTTAATTTGTTTAAAATTGCTAGGAATCTATTACCTTTGTTGGATAAATACTGATTGCTGTGCCGTTGGTATTTTCACAACCAAATCAGTTTCAAATGGAGATTACAAACAGTGTGTTAAACCAATTGCTGGAAGAGAATATAGCATTTTTTTTCAGTACTGTCAATTAAAACCTACTCCTTCTGTAATCCCACAGCTGAACAGACAGGAATGTTATTTATAGGAGATGCAATAATACAGGTTAGTAAACATTCACTTTTTTTCTGCAGACATTTGTTTCATACTTGTTTTTATTTCAGTAACTAACCTCACATTACAAATCGTTTCCTCCCTATTGTATCTGTTTCTAGGTTAATGGTATAAATGTAGAAAGCGCTACACATGAAGAAGTGGTAAGTAATTCCACTTTGATTTTTTTATTAGTGTTCAGAATATTTTATGTCCAAACTGTTTTGTCTCTAGCCTTGCTTCAAACGAATTTACTCTTTTGTACTGGAAAGACAGTGCTATAGTARGTTTGTCATATATTTGATTGTTAAAACTTTTCCATTTATTTAATTAAATTTTGAAATACAATTTACCACAATATTTGGTCACTTGAAGCAAAATAATTTATTGAATAGTGGTCAGGTTTTACTGCTTTGTTTCTTTTATCATATTGTATTCATTTATCATATCGTATGAGAACAAAGTCAGTTCACATTCATTCAATGTGCAGTGCTTTTCCAGTCTGCTGTGCAAGGCCATATAGATAAACATTGTTTCCCACTGTTGCCTGTTTATGGCAGTTATCAGCTGATTCACTGACAGCTGCATTTCAGAATAGCATCTGTAGCAACTATAAATGACATGGACTTTGACAGTCTTATCAGCAAGACAGAAATTACATGGGCAAAGGAGCTAAATTTGCTTTTGTTACTTGGAGGTGATGTGTCTAGGTCAAGATAAAAAGCAGCTGCATGATCTTAGAATCCTTTTCTTGGTGCTCCTTAATACCATCAAGCTGAATCTCTTCCAGACAATCTTAGTAAAGCACAGTCATGTCTATTGTGTATTGGTGAACTGCCCTCGTGCTGCTTGTATTGTTATTGCACAGAAAAAAACTTCCTCACAGTTACTCCTAACAAAATGGTAAGTTACTTCCSTTAAGGATTGTTTGTAAAAACGACGAAGTGCACCAGAACTCTTAGTGTAACGTAACAGAGGTGAGGAATGAGAGACAAATGCATAGTGCTGCTCCTTGCCCTGTACATGGGAATCCARTAGAAGTATTAAGCAAAATTTCCTGTAACAACTGTGAGTCATATGGCTGAAGGAAACTCCAGAAGGAGTAGKGATCACAATGGACCTGGAGATAGGTCTGCAAAGAGACTTTACTACTGCCACAACCTGTTACTGTAATTAGAATGGGGTCAGAAAAACGTGTCAGATAGTAGAGGAAAGAGCTGGCTCCATCAGGTGAGGTGGGCTGTATCCAAAGCTCCTGAGATAATAGAAGATGTATTATTTCTTATTTTATCAAAGTTATGTCTTTGCATTTTTATGAAATGATGGTTGAGATAAAGTCCTTTTTATTTGAATATGGTGGGTTTGCAGTTTGAAAGAAATGCTTTAAAAAAGAAGGTTTGGGCACCACAAACAGCACTGGAAACATATATATATATATATAGTATTTTGCTTGTTACAATGTATTAAGCTATTAATGCGGTAATATAGTGATTATGGATAGCTGTCCAGAAAGCAGGAGCAGGAGTTTAAGGATGGAGGACTCATCTAAYTTTCAGAAAATCATGCCTACATCTTCTCTCTGTGTAAAGGATGCCCTGTTTTCTAAAAGTCAGTTAAGATATGTGAGGAGGTTAGACGAGAGGTGCTCCAGCACTTCTGTTCAAAAGACACTCGTCAATAAGGCACTGTATGTATTGTATGTAAAGTATTCTTAATACACTCTGGGCCAAGTTTACACAACCTTATTATSATCTTACGAAGTACTTAATGGGAGCCTGTCAAAGGTTCTTTGTTAATTCTTTTGGGTTGCTCTGTATTCATCTGGCACCATGGTCTCTTACATATTCAGTCATCTGCTGCAAAGTGGGATCTCTGAAACAYCATCCTCCAATACAGTTTGAAGGCACTTCTTGCTGCTTGCATTCTGGGTGCAGTTCTCCGGAGCAGAGAGACAGAGGGAAGCAAAGATAAAGGATGTTTTGGTTGAAGTTCTCAAAGGTGTAACACTTGGTATTCTTTTGGTTAGGACTTCAATTTCCAAAGTGTTCACAATAAACTGTGAATGGAAATTAAACACAAGGTGGCAGTTTTCTGATCCAATAGAATTTTTCAGGTTCAAAATCACAGAATCTTMTTATTTTTATGATTAGTTCAAATGTAAGTTTGAATGAAATTTATCCTATTTCAATACAGTAAGCTATTTATTTCTATTAAATAGAAAATGCAGGAGAGAGAGTTTAGTTATATAAAATGGAAAACTAGTTGTTGCATGTTGTTTTTTCTTACTGTTTCCTATTCAGCTTTTCATAGTAAATTAGTATGTTTGACACATTTTTAGTATTTCACACAAATGTTAATCTGTTTGAAATTTTGCTCACTGACCCTGGAAAGTACTTSAGAAGTCTTATTTACTTTTGTTTATGAATATTCTCACAGAAGGACATTGTTAAATAAACAATATTCACTAAAACAGAGAATCCATTCAATGGGAATCGTTTCATATATTCAGAATTTGAACAGATTTTAGCCAATAGTTTTTTTGTTTTTTTTTTTAAATCTCTCTTACTTCAGATGTTTATTTCAATACTGTTTAATGTTTCATTGGCATGTCTGGCAGGCAGWGATGAACTTGTGCATCCTTAGGCTGATAAACTGAGATACAAAGAATGAACCTGAAAATTTTTTATCTTCATTGAGATACTGAGATTTTTTTTTTTCCTTTAATCCATCATCCATTCCACATTATCTATTTTGGAATTGATGTTCTGGGCATGGTTTTCTGAAATTCTGTTCCAAATGGTGGAACATAGATTATGACTTTTATCCATTTAATATCAAAAAGAAGAAATGAAATAGAAAAAAGTATTGTAAGATACATAGCTGAAATACATATCTAATGCTTAACTACAGAACAAATATAACAAGTCTAATAAAACAATACAAATCATAGAACTAGAATGATGGATTAAAAAAATAAAATCATAAAAATTATAAAAGCTAATAAAATAATAACATAGAACTAGTGTGATAGATTATTAAAATAAAGAATATAATAAAAATAATTATACAATATCTTGTCAAATAGACAGATGTTTGTGAAGTAGCAAAAATAATTTTTTTTTGATTTACAAATTTTAACATGTAGTAATATCTTATAGTCATGTTAATGAGTAGATTTTATTGGTTTATGTTGTAATGAATATTACTAATCTTCAAAAAAAATAAGATATATATTTGCTATGTGAAAGCTTCAGTGTTATGTTCTGTTGGTTTAACCACATGTTAATATCTGAGCATGCAATTCAGCAATTCTTGAGGCAACACCGTTATGACATTTGGAGAAACTAAAAATAAAGTTTTTATTTCATATACACAGAAGGTTTAAAAGCTTAAAATTACTGCCAGAAATATTCAACAGTATAGACTAAATTTCAAGGAAAATTTTGTTTGCCTGGTAGATTGCCCTGGTAGTTGCTACACTAGGATGTATGGATACCCTTACAGATACATAATTCTGACCCAAGACCAACTCAACTTCAASTTACCCCTTGAATTTCTGAAGTTTTTTCTGTGGGAACTTTTTCGGTTTGAACGTGCTTTTTCACCCAACAGGAATAATGTTAAGAAGTCAAAACAAACASTGTAATTCAAGTATAACAAGTAGAAAATGAGAGCTTGACCACTGAAATGAAGAAAAAATGAAAATTTTTCTCCATAGACAAACTGTGCATGTTTTCATTTCTTGGAAATCTGTCTTAATGGTGCCAAGATGAAACTTCACAGTGCTTTTAGCAATGCTCTGCATGGTTTATTCGAATAGTTCCTCCTTTGTACTGCAAATTTTTGTTTTCTCAGCATAGAAGAAATATTGTCTTAATATTGGAAGGGTAATTCTACCAGACCCAGAAGAACCGGTACTTCAGTTTTTGTCATATCATGTGAAGATTGTGTGATTCCTCTGCATGTCATGAAACATGATTTCTTTCTTCAGCTCCATGGCTCTTCCATTTTCTCAGTAATTTCCAGAGTTTGCTTTTAGATTGTTTAGATTGTTTTTCATTTGTTTAGATTATAGTAACTATTTCTGTTGAGAGTTTAAAGGTGATATTGTAAATAATTTTCATCTAAATGAAGTTGAGTTTCTTTATACTGTATCCCTTGCTTCCACACTCAAAAATTCTAACAAAGGCAGTCCATCCTTCCATTCATTTTTTTAGATGCACTGAAACAAAAGGTGGATGCTACTAAAATGCATTTAAAAAATGAACAAAAGTTTTAGTTGCCAAAAATTAAATAAAATTTTAGAAACTTTCTGAAATAGTCTACATATATTACTGCAAATTTTAGCTGCAATTACATCTTACTGCATGAGTGTAAGTTAAAAAGAAGTATGTGATGTTGCAGAGAAACTTAGTAGTGTCTAAATAAGCTCAACATACTGAATACAGGAATTGTCCAGTATTCAAGCAATAGAGATGAAGTGGAGTGGAAATAAGAAATCAGACCCTAAAAGTTATATTGAACATGTAGAGATGTGTGTGTGAATTTTTTTTAGAGTATATGTTTTGTCACAGAAAACCTAAAGAAATATGAAATAGAATAGTCAAACAAAATAATCATTATGCTTTCAGAGAGATGGCAAACAAATCCCAGGGAAACGTYGGAGAGAAAAGAAAAGGAAGAGCAGTAGAAAAGCTCAGAATATCTCTTCCAGTGATTGTTTGAAAGGGCTTTTTCTGGTTCTTTTCCTGATCTTCTGCAAACTATTAAATAAATTTTAAAAAAAATTAAAATTTTTAAATAAGAAAAAAAAAAACAAACAAACTCAAGTTCTCTAATCTAAAGTTGTTTTCYTTCTCATGTATATGGTTTTAGAGGGATTCATTAATCAAAACTTCTAAAGGAAATAAAATCAAGGTACATACATTCACAACCTTGACATTACCACTTCCCTTCTCCAAATCGTCTCTGTTCATGATGGCTGACAAGGCAGGAAGGTGAAAATGGTGGTGATCTCTGTAGAGTAACTTGGCAGGACAATGTTGTGACATAATTTAAGTGGATCCTTATGACTAYCCAATGGATGTTTCTTTATTTTTTCCAAAGTCATTTTATGTGAATCTTTTGAAGACAAAAGGTGTTTGTAAAGAACAAAGGCAAAACC